CATGTGCAAAGCTGTGTATTAATGTTAAGTGGTGGGACCCAATGTTTCCAGTTTTAGGCTACCATTTTATTCCCACTCACCTTTTTTTTTTTTAATATATTTTTAAGTAAGCTTTATCCCCAACGTGGGGCTCAAACTCATGACCCTGACATCAAAGGTCTCACGCCCTACCGACTGAGCCAGCCAGACACCCCTGCTCCTGTTCACCTTCAAATCTACAAAACCGACACCCTCCCCACGTAAGATCTTTTTTGCTGAGAATTAAAAAAAAAAAAAAAAAACAACCTTTTTTTAAGACAGTGTGCACATGCATGAGTTGGGTGGGGGTGCGGGTAGGAGCAGAGGGAGAGAGAAAGAGAATCTTAAGCAAGGCTCCACACTCGCACGGAGCCTGATCTGGGGCTCAATCTCAGGACCCTGAGAGCACAGCCGGAGGAGAAATCAAGTCAGATGCTTGATTGACTGAGTCACCCAGGAGCCCTTCAAATTCTTCTAAATTTAAAAATAAACGAAGTTAATATACACACACAAAAAGGGGCACAAATTGTGAGCAGGCAGCCTGCTGAATTATTGCAAAGGGAACATAAGAGCAGAGCTACCTCCAGGCTAAGAAGCAAACCCTCCATAGGGCCCTGCCAGCCCCTTGCAGGCTCCTTCCCGGGAACCACCCCCTCCCTAGTAGTAACACTCTCCTGACTTTCAACGCGGCCCTCCAAGGATGTTTCTACCCTCATTCATGCAACCAGTGCTGGTCGGCCAGGCACCTGAACTTCTCAGTCGGGTAGCTGGTGTCACACCCAAGCACAGAAGCTGAACTTAGGGAACTCCCTGTTGGAAGACTGGCTTTTCCGGGTGGTGGTGGGGGGGGGGTTGGCAAATTTCATATAGGATTGAGGGACCCAATCTCATTAGTGACTATTATCTTTATGCTCTGTTGGCTTAAGCGCAGGGTTTCATCACAGAGGGAGCAGAGCCAGAATCTCTCTGTGGCCCGCCCCGTGAGAAATCAGCGGCCGCCCGGCTGGCCCTCTGCGCAGAGCCGCCTGACAAGTCTGGTGGCAGAGAAGACCCTGTCCACCCGCGCTCGGGGCCCTCCCTCTCTGCCTCACCCCTGCAGGTGGTTCCAGCACTGGGCAAACTGGATCTTGCTGCGCTGGGGGTGGGGGTGGGGAACAAGTATAAAACCTGCTTTGGCTCAAATAGAAGACTGGCATCTGGTCTTCAGATTCTTTCTTACGCAGCTTCCATGACCCAAAAGGAAGGATACGGTTCCCGTCCTTGCGCCTATTAAATCATCAAAAGATGCTCATGGAGAGGCACTGGGCAGCTTGTTTCCTAAAATGCCAGCTCCTCCCCCCAAAATATCCTCAAAATCAGGTATATACCCATAAAACATGGGATTCTGTTTTCTAGTTTCCCTACAAAATCCTCGAGGTAACTCAGGCCGGGTATCTCAGGGACGCCACTGCAAGTGCGAATTCCACCTTTCACGCTCCAAGAGCTGACTGTGACGCCCCAGTGCTTCGCCCCAGGAAACAGCCCATGCCTCAGGCGGGGAGGGAGCGTGAGTGTGAGCCGTCTTGGAACGGGGGGCCATTGGCGCAGCCACATCCTTTTGTGGTGATGGTCCTCAGCAAAATGGACTGAAAATATATTTTTATGATCGGCGGGATTCTAAATTACAGCCATGCGGGGTAACAACAGAGCAAACATATGATTAGTAATTTCCTTATGGCAGAAAGTAGAAGAGTCTCTGGTGAAAAAGAATTTTCTCACAGTAGAAAAGAAACAGAATGCTCTCTTTGTTCCAAAGCCAGGGCCATGGGTCACGGCCTTCTTCCTGCGCAGGAGCGGACCTGATTCTCCAGGAAGAGGGGAAGGAAGAGATGGACCCAGGAAAACACTGCAGAACCGTCTGCCTTCTCAGTGCCTCTCCCTTATGTCCTGGGCAACCCCCCCACCTGCCACCATGGCAGCCGTGGCTCCTGGCTTTCTAGAAACGACAACTCTAGAGCTGCAGAAATGCCACCGAATGTGGACAAAGACCACACAGGGGTTCTGTTGGCTCCTCACACATTAAAGATAAAAGAGGAGGCGTCCTGTTTCTTGTTTTGTTCCAGCTCTCTCTGCCCCACCTAATTTGTTTGGAAAAGAACCACGGTAGTGCCGTGTCATTCCGGGGTAAAACCGTTCTCAGCGTGGACCAGAGGCCACACTGAGAAACCCCGGAGATGCTACTCTTCAGGGTGGGGCCCGCCATCGGCATTTCCCCCCAGCTCCCACTGTCAGTTCTCACGCACACAGCAAAGGAGTTCCCACTAAAGCACCATGAAAATCAAACTCTCCCTGCTTGCAGTCGGCTCCCCACAGCAAAGAACCCATTGGGACGGGATCCCATCTGTGAGAGTTAGCCCGTTATCTGCTGTGTTTTGGGGCCACCCCAGTCAGGGGTAAGACTGTTCCCCTTAGAGTACATGGGCAACTTAGATGCAAGAGCCCAACACTTGGTTTATCGGGGGACTCCTGGTAACCCTCTCCAGCAGCAAGGCACCCCAACCCCAACCTCCCTCGCACAGGGTTTAGTCCATGACATCACAACAGCAGAAGGACGAGTTCTGTCTCACTTTCTTAACATTAAAGTCTCTAAGTTCCCACCGCTCTATTCCTTCTGTCTGGGGGACAATGCTGGCCTTGAGCAAGGCTGTCTGAGGAAAGAGGCTGCCTGTCACTGAAAGGTTCAGGCTTCTCTTCGTGCCAGCCAGAAAACAACATCCAGAGTCTCCAGCCCCATGCCGGCCTCACTCGGGGAGCCGAGTGTCCTGCCACTAATCCCTTGATGGACTCGCGCCTCAATAAACCGGTGAGGAGAGAACCAGGCCGGTCTACATAATGCGCCAAGATGCCAAGATGAAATGCCTTCTAGGTTCCCGGTGTTAGCAACGTAAACAAGGCCTACACCAGCAAACCCAGAAGCTAGATAGGGATCGAATGAGACCCCACTCCATGATAAAATCACTCACTGTTTTTTAAAAGTTAGCCTAAGTAACATGAAATGGAGCACAAAGGCGGAGAAACTCATTTTCTCACGCACGGACAACATGAATGCCTTCCCTTCTCAAACAGGACAAAACTCCCAGGACCCCCACACCACCTGAGATTCGGCCCTCCCTGCTCCAAAGGCATGCCATGCCATCAAGAGACAGAAAACTCACAGACCTACTTTGCTTCAAACACCAGCGCTCTTCTGCCTTAATTTACCATGCTGGTTCAGGTCTGAAGGAGCCTGAAGGACTACATGAATGAAATGTAGCCCCGACCCCAGGGCCACGGGATCTCTCCTGGGACCGACAAAGACGCTCATGAGCCCAGGTGGCTGTGACCTCACTCATGGGTCAGGAAGAGGACGGCCCTTCTGCCCCAGATGTCCCGCCATGGGCCTGGGTGGGGGGTGGGGTGGGGACATCTCTTACCACCCCAAGTTGGCTTCAATTTCGAGTGCCGCTTTTCACAGCTCCTCTGGGTTCTTTTCTAAACGATGCATTCCTCCCAGCCCGTGAAACAGGGCAGGCACTGTGATACACACCTGCTGGAAAAAAATCTGTCCTTTGGTCTCTTTCTTGAGCTCAGCAGTGCATGAACAGACAAGAGAAAGGAAAGAAGAATAGAGAAAGGTGTGAGAAACGCCTCCGTGATCTTTCTCCCATGCACCTGGCTCTTGCCAACAGGCTGGGTTAAAATTCACCACCAGTGACTGTGCCCAAACACCTCATTTGCATTTTGGCTGCCATGCCTTTTTTTTTTTTTAAATAAGACGGACTCAGTTCCTTTACTCTGTAAAAGGGACTGCAAGGCGGGTGCCATCACCGAGCAGCTGCACCCAAAACGAGGGCCAGAGGCCAGTGCTGCGCGCCGCACCTGAGAATAATAGGTCACTTGTTACCTCGACTCTACCTGTCTGATGAGCTACCTAATGAGGTCTTAAATTTCCGACTCCTGACGGGCAACCTGAGTACCGACGGAGCTGCGTGAACAGAGTCGTGCTCTCCTCTCGGCCAAGTGCAAGACCAGCAGGCTGGCGCTCCCGGCCCGCACGGTCCATCAGCCCGGGCTTCCAGGGCCGTAAGTCAACAGGGTCGGGCAGACAGCTGTCAGAGACAGGAGCGGGGACACGCAGAAGAGCTTAATGAAATTTTATTTGGAAAATATGGCAAGAATCTAAGGCACTTCAAACATTTAAATACAGGTAAGACCAAAGTAAATGTGACGCGGTAGAAAGGAGTCCATAAATACGTGGAGAACTACACTAGGCTTCCCGAGAGGCAAATATATCGCCAATTCCTCTAATGAGATCCAACCTCTGCCATTAGACGCGGACTTGTGCAATGATTAATAAAAACGTGGTAACGTTACACGTAGTTCTGCACGTCTCGATGACTATGGAATATAAAAGTTGAAAATACTGTGTCAATTTCATATAGATACCTTTTATATAAAAAGTCATATAATACATCCACCTAAATTAACCCAACTGAAAACACCTCCTTTCATAAATGTTTTACTTTTCAAGAGTTCCGTTTTTGATTTTTAAACAAGAAACCCACCAGACCAGGCCCAAGGTTCTGGTGACGTCAGTCATCTCAACGGCCTTACTTTATAAGAGTAAACACACACACACATCAGCACGACCTTCCTGGAATGGAATTTTCAGAGAGCTTTCTCATGGCTCCACATTAAGTCAATATAAATACTCGTGGAACATTTTAAAAACGCCAAGCCGGTGAGAAGCTGATGCTCCCTGGCAGGGGCAAGGCAGGGAGAGAAGGAACGGACGCTGGCCCGCTCAGGTCAGGTTACCATATCGCGCGGCTGTACATAACGGAGCAGAGACTCGACAGCAACAGAGCCGGGGTAAGCAGCCGGACGCTGTGGGAAGAGGGCCGGGAGGGAGATGGCGTGTGCCGGGTGGCCAGCTCCTGCCGGCTCAGCTTCCACCGCGCCCCTCCAGGCGCCAGCCCTCCCATCTGTGTGCTGGGGACTCAGGCACAATGCGCGTACATTCAGTAGCTGTCAGCCCAACAGGAACAGGTAGCAGCTCGCCGGAGGCATGGAAATGGACGGCTTTTTGCAGAGAATCAATCAAATGAACTTCGGTGCGTGGGACTAGGAGATGTCTTCCTTCCCAGCCTAGGGGTGCCCTAGAGACCAGGAGAAGAGAAAAAATGGAGGGGTTAATAAGTGACCTGAGGCAGATGCGTCCTCTGTGATAATGGACCCTGTCCAACACAGTTGACAACCACGTGTGTGCCAGGGCGCGGGCAGCTGGGCTCAGCAGCGCCACGTCCGGCCGTCCCTGGGAGGCCATGTACTCGGAGGGACAGACTCTCGGACCATGGGCTGCTGCTCACGGTCTGCTTGAGGAAAAATGCCGGGAACACGGGAACGTAGCAGTGTGCATTCATGGGCGAACCAGGCGCCATCTGGATAATTCTGCCCAGAGTTAACCCCTTCATGGGAGGGCGTCAGAGCATCTGTCTCCTGAGAACAAGCAGAGGCCCAGCCTCTGCCAAGCTCCCTGGCAGCCCACCTGGCCATCTGGGGGGGGGGGGGGGCAGAAGTCACGAACCCTTAAGTTCCAGAATCCTCAGAAAACCTGCATCTCCTGTCAACTCCCTGAAGAAGGGGGCCCACGGGCCTGGTGGACTTGAGCCCATTCACAAATGCCAAATGCACAACACTGACCGGAGACTGGGCCTTGGCGAAGTTGACGTGTGCGTACAGAAGAACTGCGATGTCCTTGTGTCCGGCCTCCAGGGCTATGGAGAGTGCAGTGCTGCCATCCTAAAGAGAACATGGGAAAAAACAAGCCAGGATGGATTTCTCAAACTTCCAGACCACTGAAAGGCAGCAAAACAAAAACTCTCCAAGAACTGTTAAGGTTCCCCAAATCTGTTCAGTCCCATAGGAGACTCTTCTGGACCTCCGCACACCAAGCCCAAAGGCTACAATGAGGCACTATGCCCACCAGAGTGGAGTCCCCGTCGGAGGACCGACACCTCATCCCCACTGTGCCTCATGGTGGTCAGACTGGTGGTGTGAGCCCCGTGCACCCACGACAAAGGCGACAACAGGGACTCACCCAACTACCCTTCCCACCAGCTGGGGGCTGTAGCAGAGGGTGGGGTGGAAACCTAGGTGTCTGTGCTGCTTCTCTTTACAGCGAGCAGGAAACACCAGTGTGTGTTTAGACACCCTGCTGCTTGCCAAGGATCTTTTAATGTTGCCCTTCAGGAGGGAGCGGATCCTCCAGCCTTAAGTGCCCCCATCGACCGCTGCAGACACCATCCACACACAGTCACCACGTCCTGCTGCCTTGCAGAAACACATCTTAGGAAAATCCGAGGGGAAACACTAAATATGGGGAAGTCAGTTTCCATTACATGTTTGGCTTCCATGAACTTGCCCAGCTTTGGATGCACGTCAGGGAGGGACAAAGCAAAACCCAGAACCCAGCGCCATTACTTTCTGTCTGGTCTTGGAGTAAGGATGCACTTCTGGTCACTAGCAGCAGGAAACAATTCTCGGGTGGACAGCATCTTAGGGTCCTTCCCTCCCACCCAGAATTCTCTAAGCTACTTGCCCTCCCACTTTCCTCCCCCGTCCTTCCGGAGGTGACCAGCATTTCTGGAAGCCACTGTGGCTCTGGGGCCTCTTATTACTACATGTACAGACTGTTCTTTGCTAAGAAAAAGCAGAAGTAAAAGCAAACAAACAAAAATCAAGACACATGCAACACACGCCGCTCTCGGGGACAGCTAAGTGGGAGCTCTCCCTGTAGCCCTGCGCAAATTAAGGGGACGTGGGATAGCTGCATCCTCTCCACCCCAGGAGCTGTGTGCCACCTGGTACGAGTAAATGCCTGCCCTGGTTAGCTCTGCCTGCTGGCTTTGGCCCACCAGGATCCGACACTTAGTGCAAGAAAGGGTATTTTCCTTCTAACTTTCTAGTGTTCCGAGCTGAAGGAAGCTCTGGGCCAAACCCATGCTCCATGGAGATAAACCTTCCAAAGCAGCACTTCGACCCAGGGCACCACCCAGATATCAGTGCCTGTGCCTTCACCTATGGGCACTCCTCCCCTGTGGCCTGGAGACTGCAGAGGCAGAAGAGCACCTTATGATGGTTCCCAGGCAAGGCGTTGTCTGGAACAGGGACAGCGTGGGAACGGGGAGAGTAGATCGGGGTTATGGTGACAAAAAGCCAGAGCAGGAGCGGGAGACGTGCATGAAGGAGCCGTCCGGTCTGGAGGGCCAAGCTGATGAGATGCACAGGTGAGTCCCTCTGAGGGGCCCCAGTGAAGGGCACGCTTGAGTTCATTCCGGGGCGGGCAAGTGCTTCCCTGTGGTGACAGCTGGCTCTCGTCACCTCGCAGCCCCAGCCTGGAACAACTACCACCCCAGCTTCCCCAGCGCTCTGGGGGGCTGGTCCTCTCCTCTTCACGGACCTGCAAGGTGCCTGCACTCCATCTGCTCTCTGGCGCTTGGGACTTCCCCTGCCGCGTGCTGGCTCTCGGATGGGCTCCTCACTCTCCTGTCTCGAGCGCGGGCGCTGAGGCCTCACCTTCCTGCCTTCGACTCTAGCTACTGGGAGTGGGAGTCTGCGCACAGGAGATGCCGCGGTGCTGGACCGGGAAGGGCACGAAAGCCCCATGAGCAGCGTGGAGAATGTGCCCTCTGCCAAGGGGCCCTGCAGACGCCTGGCGGGCAGGCCCCGAGAAGGCCGTTTCCATCCACTTACGTTGTCCTCCAGGTGGCCATTGCAGCCTGGCTGGGCCAGCAGCAGCTTGACGATCTCCACGTGCCCGTGCTCGCTGGCGCACATGAGCGCCGTGGAGCCCTCGTCGTCCTGGATGTTGACGTCAGCCCCGCAGGCCAGCAGGCCCTTCACCATGTCGACCCGCCCGTGGCTGACCGCCAGCATGAGCGCGGTCTGCCCCGCCTGCAGGGAGGAAGGGCAGCGGTGCATCAGCAGAACACACAGACCCGGGGGGGAGGTGGGGCGGCGTGACAGAGGGCACAGAGCAGACGTGGGCATAAGCTGGCGCCGGGTGGCAGCAGGCACAGAGAAGCAGTTTCTTGTTCTGAGCGCCGAGCTAAGTACAATCGTCCAGTAGCGTGTCAGTGCTGCCCTGTCTCCAGGAGGGCCTGTGTCCCCGCAGCGAGGAGCCGGGAAGTTCAAAGGTGCTGAGAAGTCCAACTACCCCAGGGCCACTGTGTGCCCAGCACGAAGACACTACGGATCAGAGACTGAGGGAACAGCCACCCCCAGGTGTAGGTGGGGACTCCTGGGCCCTGAGGTGGGCTGACCTACACAGTGCACGCACCCTGCTCCAAACAGAGGCAGCATGCAAGGCCAAGGACGGAGATGTGCACCATGTGACAGTGAAGCCACTAGGTCACCAGCGTGTCTGGTCACACGGGGTAGCACGGGCTGGCGTGGGTGGGAGCTGTGTGAGCACGGACCCCGGTGGCAAGGGCGCTCACCTGGCTGGCTTTGGCATTCACGTCACCGCAACCAAAGAGTTCTTCCACGACACGCATGTCCTTCTCGGCTTCCACGGCGGCCAGGGCGGCCAACATGATGGGGGTGTAGCCCGCCTTGTTCTGGTGATCCACGTTACACACGTCTGCAGAGAAACAAACCTGGTCACGGAGAAGCCTTCCTACAGCGACCCTTCTCCCCACGGGCCAAAGGAACAGGGTTGGGAAGAGGCCTGTGAAACGGCCTCCAGGGCTCCACGTCCCAGAGCGGCTTGGAAGGAACTATGAGAGCGTCTTCATACTCAACAGAAAAAAGGTTTTCTTGTGTCACAGAAGTCCAGAAGCAGAAGTGAGAGTAAGCCATAACGGCACCTCCTGTTTACAACTGGTGGCTGGACTGCTGCAGTCCAGAGGGCTGGAGGTTGTCCTAAGTAATGACGGCTTTGAAGAAGCCACATAATGTGGGATGAGGACATTCACCTGTGTTTGGGGGATCACGGTTTTGGAATGAAGGAGACAGGGAGAGCTACGAATATGAAGGATTTGTGAAGGGCTGTGTAGAGAACACGATGGTATCACCCACTTGGAAATCACGGCTCATTCTGAGACCCCGAGTTTGGTCCTCTGACTTGCGTGGCGCCCTTGGAAGCCGAGTTCCAATCGAGTGACTCCTAGCTAGCTGCTCTTGGAACTGCAGTCAGAGGAAATGCAGTAAGAAACTGCCAGGGCCTGAGAGGCACAACAGACCAGACCTTGTCTATTCCTGTAATTGTTAAGGAGGCACTGGGGGCTCAATTATCCTTTTTGAATTCCTTTAGCACCATCTAATAAAATGAAAGGAGTGGCAAGTGCAGGAAAGAAGCTTTCATGTGTGACCAAATATAGTTAAGATGTTCAGGAAGTTTCTATCACGAGGAGTGAGAAGAAAAGGGACCATGAAAACTTGCCTTATGCCAAAAATTAACTACATAGTAGAGACATGGTGGCATTTAAACACAGGGCGTGTTTTTTAACATAGAAAAGGAGAAAGAAAAAGCGGTGATGGAGAGGCGTGTGAGCTGACGCGCTCTCTGAGGCTCCCTATCGTCTGTGACATTTGGTCGTTTGCAGAGGTCGTTCCTGACATGCCACACGGGAGCCCCGGTCTCAGCCTGTGATGGCGGGCAATAGAGGGTCAAGTATATCTAGTAGTGTGATTAACCAAAGCCACGCAACTGTGGCATTGAAATAATTTAATTTACCAAAATACCTTGTCCACACAAATTTGCCAAGGGTAGATTAAACTGTTACTTTCAAGAGTAATCTGAAATCTTGGTTTTGGCTCTTTTGGATATTATCCACTTCTCTGTTTAATTAACAACGTGGGCTGAGATTATCACTGGCTCTGTTTATACTCTGTTTATACTCTGAAAAGTCGAAAGGGAAAGAGGCTTGGAATTCCTTGCTCTAAGATGGAAGCAGTTTGAGCCTAACACAGCCCCATATGCTGAGAATAAGCAAACTCGGAAAGGGGGATAAACCTGCATGATTACTTCTCTGCATTACTCTAATTCCCCCAAAACGGAATAGAAGAAATTAGAGAGTTGGATCAAAGGCAGTATGGGGAAACTGGACACTTTTACTGCCTATGCTAAATCAAATGTTCACATTGTGTTCTCACTAATTGAAGACCGAGGTTCTGTAAATTCTGTATCAGTCACATGCTAGAAGTAAAAATACGTAGTTTGAAAATAAATCAGAGTGACTCGGGGACTGTATGTACCGCTGGGCTATCACCGTTGAACAAAAAGTTGGAAGTTCACCATTTTCCAAGGGCCCCTTCTACGCAGCACAGCCTTGCTTCGTGTGTAAGACGTGCAGTGGCTACATTCTGGGATGGGATATTCCAATCACAAACAAGAATGTTCACTGTCCTCATTACTAGGGCTCAGATACAAGAATCGCACTTTTTCCCTCGGTAACAGGGTCTGTTTCGGTGGGAAAGATCCGGATTCCACTACCACCGGCCACAGTGGCGTTGCGTGGTGCCTGTCTTGAGGGGCACATCTCGGCCTGGCGGCTGGATGGGGTCGGGCCGCAAGGGCAAGAGCAGCAGCAGACACCCAGGCTGCCGCGGGTCCCCGGAGGCGGGGGGGCGCATATGGCTCCTGAGAACACCCGGCCCACCCGCGTGATTCACGGCGCGGATCTGACTCATGCTCAGCGCCGGGGCGGGGCGCACCTCGCCTGAACGCAGCCCAGCCGCAGCCAGAATGGCCGCAGAACCTCCCTTCCGAACGGACGTGGGGCCGGGGTCACCCAGCTGTGTTTCAAGTTCAAGCGTCCCCAGGTGACTGGAGAAGGACGTCCTCGCCGCACGGCGGGGAACGGCAATGGGAGGGGGGCGCGGGGCGGTCCCGGGGCCGAGGAGGGGTCAGCACCCGCGCAGGGCCGGGGGCCGCGGTGGCGCACGCACCGGCGTCCAGGAGCAGCTTGACGATCTCGAAGTTGGAGTGCGACACGCTGTAGTGCAGCGCCGTGTTGCCGTTGCCGTCGGCCATGTTGATGACGTGGCGCAGCACGTCCGGGGAGACGGCCTGGAACGCCGCGATGTAGTCGCCCACCATGGCCGGGCTGGCGGACTTCTGACTGGACACGCGGAACCACTCGTGCTGCAGGGTGTTCAGACAGAACCGCTGCCAGAAACACGCAAGCGGCCGTTAGTTCTTCTATTTCTGGCCCTTCCCGAGACGCTGCTGAAAGCCCGAGAAACGTGGCCTTTTATGGTCAGAGAGGACGCAGCCAGAGCTGCCGTCCAAGAACCACCCGGGAGCATCCTTCCCGGCCTTCTGCCGTCTACAAAAGAGGCCACGCAGCCCTGCTTAGGGCCTCCGCCTGGAAGGGCCAATTCTGGCTCTGCTACTTGTGAGTTCTACGCCCCTGCGGACGAGAATGCCCCGTGCCTCAGTTCACTCATCTGCAAAATGGGGGCAATAAAAACACCTCTTCCCCTCCGGGCTTGTGATGGGGACAAGCGAGGCACTACGCATAACACCACGCAGGCCTGGCGCCATCGATTCTCGATTGGTTAGTATCATGTCCTTTCGCTGGCCCTGCACGTGATTTTCGGAGGGCTCAGGGCAGGAGAGATTGTCACCCACACTGACCGCTGCTGCTTCCTTCGCAGTCAGACCGCCCTTAACTCCTTCAACACGCCCAGGGCCCTGCGCTGACAAGACCACGAGGGTGTGGCCCACCCAACTCCCACGCCAGGCCCCAAGACAAACGTTCAGCCACGGAAAGGGATTAAAACGCAGGTTCAAAACAAGTTACATCTCCCATTTAGAAGCGCCTGCATCCCACCGTGACCCCACGGACGCCTTCCCTGAGGCTGTGGCCGCATAAAGGCAGGGCTGGCTTCACGAACAATCCAGTCAATCCTGGACTTGTGAAGTTCGCATGCGCACTGCTGGGGATGAAATCCCAAACCCGTGAAGTTCGCATGCGCATTGCTGGGATGGAACCCCGGACCCGTGAAGTTCGCATGCGCACTGCTGGGGATGGGCGGAGCTAGACCGCGTCTTCCAGGAGCCCTTCCTACACGGGATAACCGTTCACCCGTGCTTTGCTTACTCTTTCAAGGGTTAGAAATATACTAAAGCAAAAATGGAAAGCCTACGTCAGCAACACCAGATGATTCGGTTTCAGCCCGTTCAATCATATTTTGTGGCACCTGATGAAAAGGGTCCTGGGTGGGGAAAAAAAAAATCATCTACTGTTTTGTTTTCTTCTGCTCACTCTTCTGCATATTAGGATTTTCGTTTCTCCAGAGTCTGTCCTCGTGTGGAAAGAGGGAGCTTGTGTCATCTGGGGGCTGAATTCTATTACTGCCGTGTTTATGGTGTCCTGTTCCAGTTCTGGGCCCTGGCACTGTGACTGTTCATGTCTCTACCGGTTTTCAGGACACAAACCCTTACAGACGTTTTTACCAAATGAGTTCCATTTAACCAAAAAAGGAACTGACCACGGAGTATGTCCGTGACAATATGCTTGGTACTCTGGGGCCAGAGAAATGGACGTTCTCCCGGAAAACCACAGGATCCGGCATCTTGAGAGGGGTCAAAGAAAAAGTACATTATAGCTATGGAATCTAGGGTCCAGAAGCACCAGTTTTAAGTTCAGGTTCAGCCTCAAGGGAAATACTAACACCATAGTGGTATTTCATGGCTTTGCTCTCTGTGACTGAAGCTTAGACACACGTTTAGTTTATACTGATGGAGTTCTGCCCGTCCCCGCCCAGGGATTTTATTTAGTATTTTCTTCTGTAAACATCACCCCGTGTGCCTTTCTCGGCACACTCATTCAATGTCAAGACACAGCTGGCTCTGAGAAATTCAGTTTCCATAGCAATAAAAACAAATCTGAGATGCAACCAGAACCTTAAAAAAAAAGGGTGTTGTACGATCAGGTGACGGGATTCAGAGAGGATAAATAAAACTTGGGCCAGTATTGAAGAGGTATCATCTGGCCCCAGTACTAACTAGAAGCTAGTTAACGGACTCTGGACAAGACACCTAATCATTAGGGCCTCAGTTAAAACAGAGTAGATGAGGACAGAGTGGCCTCACAGGCACGCATGACCACACGCCTCTCATGCCCGTGACAGCTGTCCTAGTCCTTCCTCAGACTGAGTGTTGTCCACGAGGAAAACGGTGACTTTCTGGCATGAGAGACTCCCTGAAGTCCCTTCTAGTTCTAACATTTTGGTTTCATCACTCTATAATCCTGTGAGACTTTCAAATCAGCTTTCTCACTCGCTGCTGACTTCAGTTGTGCAGCAAAAAAACTTCACGCTGATGAGATGCCGAGATTCAAATGTCAATTCTGTCTAATGTAATGGGAGAGCCTCCATTTTCTCAACACACTGAAGGGAACCGTCAACCACAGGGTGGGTGTGACCTAGGAGAGAAGCTGCACCTCAAAACTTCAGCGACCCCTAAGGGAGAGAGACATACTTCGCCATGGTGTCAGATTCACCATTGCCCCAGAAGTGCTCCTCTGTCTAGGGCTGTGTCCTTCCTGCTCCCAAGGCAGCCATCAGCTTCTTGGCTGTGTGCTTCCAAGTCTCTCAAAGTGGGCAGAGATGACAAGTGCAGTGACTCCAGAATTTAAAAATAGTGGCTGGCCGCATTCCACACGAGAACATAATATGCACTTCCATAATTGAAAGGAATGCTGATCTCAGCCCAGTCAGGTTGCTTTTTAAAAACCATAGGCCAACTTAAAAAAAAAAAAAAAATTCTGGTGACTCTTCTCCCTGGATCACAAGGTTCTGTGAGCGGAAGCAGAATGTGTCGAAACCTGACGACCAGCTGCAGCTGGCCCTCCCTCCGGTGTGCAAGTGTATGCCTCATGGAGCCTATGTTGCCCAGAAAAGTACAGGGTGGGGCTGTCTGCTGCGGGGCCTGAGGGAAACGTTCAGTATGAGCAGGGTGGCACGGTGCTCACTTTGCTTACATGAGCTAGAAATAGTTCAGTGGCAAAGCATGTGGGTACAACAGCTCAGGGGCAGGCTAGAGACACCTTGACTTTGGTGTCCACTTGAGCACTTTGTATGGACTAGGGACAACATCTGGAGGGCAGACTCACCATATCCTTGCTGGTCAAAGCTTTGGGGTCATTTATATTATTTTTCAACAAGTTGCAGGCAGACAACATCTTTTCGCTTAATTCATACCTAGGACAAGATAAAAAAGAAAGGGAGCTCACGATTGGCCACCCCAGGAAAGGCATTTTTATTGCAGACTTTATACCCCTTTAAAAGACAAGAGGCCTCGAGCGGACCTCTGCAGGTTCGTGGTGGTGCAAGGTGCCTGCCTGGAGGTCGAGCAGGCCTCCCTAGGTGTCCGAGGACATACAGAGCCACGGTCTCCGGCCAGAGCTCGGGCCTTTCCATATGGTGACTTTCAGGCCTACCTGTTCGGCCTTTATGACATTCTGGAATAACATCTGGAACTTTTTTAGTCCTTTTATTCTAAGTTCTTAAAAATATTTTTACTCTTAAAAAAAAATGTTTTTACTCTTAAGGGGTTGAAGAGGTCAGAATTACCACATATCCATTAAGCAGACTAGTAAACCACATGTCTGAACTCAGGAAGTGTTTAGCCCCCATGAAAATCTACACTGAAAAATCAGATGGCATAGGTAAATAAATGAGAGCTCAACAAAACTGTTAAAAAATAAAACACATAGATGACAAGATCTCAGCCATGTGAAAATACTTGGAAACATAAACTAGAAACACTTACCTTATGTTAATGCAGTTAAACTCTGATTTGCAAAATTAAATAGAAGTTTTTTGAAATGTTCTGTTTATATTCCACACAGTGAAAAACCGTCTTGAATTTTTCATATGTCCTATTCTCTGTTTTATAAGCACTGATTCCACATTTGCTAGCCGTCTTTAAAATGTTCTACACCATTATGTACGTGTTTCAGCCAACGAGAGTGTTTACTAGATACTTCAGTTGCTGCTAAGGAGACTCCCAAACCCATTCTTGTGGGGTTCCCTATCACTCAGTGAGCAACAAAACAACAGACGTGGGACTGATTACATCATCTTTGCAGTGAATGAGAGCTTTGGCGGCGGTTAAAGAGCTGCTCCTTTCGCACATGGCAATCCCTTAACAGTACTGACCTGTATTAAGATGAATGGCTAATGATAAAATCCGAAATCTTAAAAGACATGTGCTGACCACACTAAATCCTAATGTGCCTTCAACTATAAGGTGGGTTATGCGAACACTGGATGCCTTGGGGGCGTGGAATATTCTGTGGCTGGTGGCTCCACAGAGAAAACTAGCTAGCAAATACATTTAAAGGAAACAAAGGTGGCAGCCTGATGAGGCCCATCTTTTTGCTCCTCTGAGAGATCTAGGAGCTATCTCCCTCCCCACCTGTACTGATTAGCATCAGGACAGGACGGTTGTACCCCTGAGGACAAAGTTCAGCTATCCTTTGAGGATGGGAAAGACCCAACCAATAGTAACAATGGCAAAATCTCCTAATCAGCCAGTTCTCTTGCCAAAGGCACATTAAACGTGGAAGGGTTAGGGAGGGGAGGGGAGTGTACCACACCTCTCTCTGATTTCCACCTTCTCAGGTTCACATTCTGGAACCTGCATCTCATCTTCCACCCTGGCGGACTTGAAACCTTCAACATTAACGGCATGGTGCCCTTCCGCCATTCCCCGAGTGTCTTCATCCTCCTCTTCCTCCTCCTCGTCCTCAGGAGGGTACTCACTGACATCACACTCGTCATCTGACTCGGAGGAAGAGCTTTCATCCGAGCTGGAATCATCACTTGAAGTTGTTTCATACCTAGGTGGCAATTGGGAGTTCAGGAGAGGCAAGGCGTACCCCGAAAGACCCCGTGACAGAAACTCTCAGGCAGGGAAAGCAGCTGACTCCAGACATCTGACCAGTGGTTTTAGACTCTGCATTTAGAAGTTCAAAGGAAGGTCTTTTTAAAAATCTGGTGGTTTTGAATGGGTTCTGACTGAAAAGGGATAACTTGAGTTGCCAGTTGGTATCATTCTACCACTATGTAGCACCTCTGGCCTAGGATACACCAACGGAAACTTACTCATGAAGCCAGGTGTGCAGTGTTTTTTTCTGGTCCACCCCCCCCAATTTTTTTTTCCTTTTCCCTAAAGTTCTTCCTATTTTGATCCATCAACTGTCTCCGTGTCATGGTGAACGGATTAGGTAAGTAATCGATCGTTCCTCTGGAATAAGCCCTCCAGAACCTCCTGGGCCACACTACCCAACTAGACTTCAAAGATTCAGAAACTAGGCCCCATTCAGTTAAATCTTGTCATAAATATTAACTCAACTAACCACATTATTGCTTTCTTGTTGCGGCTGAGGCCACATACAGATGAACAGATTAGCTGCTCTGTACCAACTATAGGATGACTAACAGGCTTCACTATTTATCTGGCCCCATTGAGAAGGAATAAACAGCTAACAGACATTCTGTTTAGAAAGTAAAGAACTGAAGGCACAGCTGGACTACTGGTCTACTGGAAGGCCCTACAGTTCTGTACGTAAGCATGGGGAGATAAGCAAAACAAGCCGTTCTGAAGGAGTAGATGACCATCACTGGCCCGTGGAGTGATGCTCTCGCCTCTTTCTGTTTGCTCCTGAGTCTGATACAGGTGAGAACAAGCTGTCCGACACCGCGGGACCCCTGCCGCCTGCTGCTTTCATTGAAGACTATTGTTTTCAGATCAGAGGTGGCAAGACGTGAATCGCTCAGCGTCATCAGATGTCTTTTCAAGAGTGACACATCCTTAAAGATAGCGAGAAGAGGAGAGGAGAGAAGCCCAAATGCACCTTTCTGAGGGGATGTTCCATCACCAGTATGTGGCTGCAGCCCAGACCGGGCACCTTTAAATGGGACTTGAGGAGACAGGAGGCAAAGGAGACAGACAGACCATGTTACAGACTGGCTGGTGTCACCATCTTCCCTTACCCTCCGTTAATGCCAACAAACTGAAGATTCTTCTTGGCTCCATTTGAATCTTTGTGGCTGTCCTTCTTCTTCATGATAGACTTCAGTGTGCTTTCACTGTTCGTACATACTGTGAGAAAGGGAATCAGGGTGAACAAAATTAACACAACTCATACCCGTTCAAGTTAAAGGACCAAGAAATCTTTCTTCAGGTTCATTTTTTTTTTTTCCTCATTCATGTCAGTTTAGATCTTGGCCCAGGCACATGACAAGCTTGCATAAAATCCACTGGAAAGATGTATGCATGGAAAGGAACGCTGTGAAGTTCTTTACATGGGGATTAAAAAAAACACCATTAGTACTACCGGACATAACAGAACGACTGACAACTAGCATCTGTATCAGGCTTCACTGTTTATAGAGTGATATCCCCTCTTATTTGGGCCTCAAAAACCACTTAGGCCCTAAAATGGGGATTATTATTATTGTTTTCCCTCAGCTGGGAAAAAGGTCCACCTATCAGACTGCAAAGGAGTGAAATGCTATTTCAAGTATTTCATAATTCACAAAATCAGATGAGTTTTCTTCGGGGGATGGCACACTCCTTTATGCTGAAATCTTTTAAAGATGTTCTAGGCCTACCTTCCTACCATTTCTTAGGTCAATGGTGTTTCCAGGTCAGCCTATGAGGTACCGTGACATTAGACTGCAGCGCGGGCAGCGCTGGTCCTAGAATCCTGAGGCTGAGAAGGGTTGAGTGAGGAAGGTTACCATAGAGGCTGGCAGCTATCTGGTCGTCCGTCAGGTTCACCGGGCACAGCGTGCTTTCCTGAGGGGGGAAGGCGTCCTGGCCGCTGAGGGGTCTCCCTTCCATGGTGCCCACTGCTTGCTCGTGCTGGGAGGTCTGGGTGTGAAACGGAGCTCCTGCCTGAAGGCCTCCGCACTTACAGGTGTACTCCAGACTACTGCCTGTCAGGAAGGAGACAGGTGTAGAACGTATGATGTTAAGACCAAATGAAATGAGCTAAACTTCTTTTTAATTTTTGCAACTTTTCATTTTCTTAACTGCTTTTCTCCCTGTGTTTTTTTGCATTCATGGCGATATTATGGAAGCCACCCAAACTCAAACCCCAAGCCACCCAAACTAAAACCTTCTTCTTCTTCTTTTCTTTTTTTAATAAAAGATTTTACTCATTTCTTTGACAGAGATCACAAGCAGGCAGAGAGGCAGGCAGAGAGAGAGAGGAGGAAGCAGGCTCCCTGCTGAGCAGAGAGCCTGATGTGGGGCTCAATCCCAGGACCTGGGATCATGACCCAAACTGAAGGCAAAGGCTTTAACCCACTGACCCACCCAGGTGCCTCTAACCTTCTTGACGGTTAACTTTCCTTTTATCCCCGCATCCGGGTCTGCCCACGCCTGTCCTTCTACCTCCGTCTCTTCCCTCTGGCACAGCTGTTACTGCCCCGGTTGGGTGGGCATCCTGACTGTCCTCTTCCTTTATGATGGCCTGTCACACACACGGCTGATGAGCAAAACTCCCGCCCCTCAAACCCCATCGGCACTCTGGCTAAAACAAATCTGAGCAAAGCTAAAAAACTCTCCCCTCTGCTCAGGAAATGCAGCCCACGACGCTTAGGCGCGTACTCTCTAGACCACCGACACCTCACCCATCTCCTTACCTCTCCACCTTTATTTCCCACCACGCCTGGGGTTCCGTTTGAGGGGAGGACTGCCTCCTAGTCACTGGGATGCTGAGAGTGGGTGTCTCGCATCTTCCAGACAACACATCTTGGCAAACGCTCCTCTACGTGGAACCCTCCTTTCTCCCCACCTTCACAGGGTCAAGCCCTCCGTCACCATCTCTTCTGAGCCTTCCCTGATCTAACTAAACAAGACTTTCCTTTCTCTGACTTTCACAGTCCAGCTCTCAGACCCTCTTACAGGATCTGTAAGACAAAGGACCTGGGAGCGCCCAAGACTCTCTTCCCGTCTGTAAGAATTTTGAGGGCACCAAACTGTTCAAATCAACTTTCTTTCCTCACATCTACTAGATTGCTTTTGTGTACTTCAGGTACTTAATATTGGTATGTATCAGGTACTGGCTAAAGCAGAAGAATCAGATCAATTCATTGCACATAATTACTGTATCTATGTATATCACAGTGTCTTTTTTTTTTTTAAGATTTTATTTATTTATTTGACAGAGATCACAAGTAGGCAGAGAAGCAGGCAGAGAGAGATAGGAGGAAACAGACTCTGCTGAGCAGAGAGCCTGATGCGGGGCTCGATCCCAGGCGCCCCGATATATCACAGTATCTTTAATGTGGTTGGCATGGGAAGATGTTTACGATGTACGGTTAAACGAGAAAAGCAATAATAAGATTCTATGTATGTGATCTTATTAAAAATATATATGAAAGTTATCAGGAAGCTATGGAGATTTTAACTTTTCTCTGTATTTGCTGTTTTTTAGAGTGAATATTAACTGTTTCAAAATCACTTTAAAAAAATAAGGAAATTCTTTGACTAGCAATTTGTTCCTAGGAATTTTAACCTGAGGATGTACAAAAAGATACAGAAGGATGTTCATTGTTTCCATGTGTAAAATAGCGGAAAGAGGCAGATATCACAGTATGCCAGTAAGAAACCAGTGAAATTAGGTCTGGTACATTTATACAAAGGAATTCTATGCAGCCATTAAGAATGCTGATGTGGGTAGACATTTTTAGCACAGAAAGATAGGCATAATGTATTACTGGGTTTCAAAAATAGATTATTGAATCATTTGGGGAAAATAAACCTATTTTGGCAAATATATTTATATGTATACACATTAGAAAAAGTCTGGAAGGATACACAACAAACCTATTTAACACTGCTTTTCTAAGGCTAATGATGTTGACTTCCTAAATTATGTATTATAAACAGGAGTTACTAATTCAAATAAATTTCAATCTAACCACAGTAATGTCATATGGAAAGAATTTGATCACAACTTCCTCTTTTCTAAACCTCTGAAATCGCTTACATCCCCAGAAGAAAAGAAATCTAAATACTGATTGTATTTTGAGGCAATCAGGGAAAAAAAACCTAATCATGATAAATTCTGTAACTGTTCTCTTCAAACTCTACTGTTTATATGCACCGTCTGGGGTGCATTTGCTAAAATGCAGATTCCCAAGCACCTGCCGCCATAAAATCATTCTGTAGCTCTGCGATGGGGGCCCAGTGGTAGGCATCTCGGACATCTCCACTGACCTGGGGTCCACAAGACACTCTGATGCACGTTGCCCACTTTAGAAAGTACTGGTTTAAAACAATGACCCTCTAATAAAAAAAAAAAAAAAAAAGTGGACGGAGGCAAAATGTTCACAGTGAGGCATTAGGGATCACCTAAATTTTAATTCTCATATATGCAACCTAAGAAGTCTGAATGCCAGGGAGGCTCGGTGACTTCACAGGTGGCCCAGAACCCACATTTCCTAACTGTGTGAGCAGTATTTTGTCTGTGAAAACAGTAGCACCAGTGCTCTCCTCTAGCTCTGCAGGCAAGGGGCCTCCCAGGTGACTCTAAGGGTCTCCCTCCCTCCTTCAGCACACACACGCAACACTGTACGCAGGCTTCCTGATAATATTCAGTGTCCTTGTGACCTGATGTGCTCCCCCAACAGCAAAAACAAGGCCTCTGAGAGTCCGTCTGACTTATCGTTAGCAAAGTGAACAAACCAGGGCATTGGCCTCCATCCCGCCTTCTCCATCCCAACTCATCAGTACAGATGAGGTAGCGGGGTGACCTCCCCAAAGTCTCAGCAGCTGTGAGTCCCAATGCCAGCACGTACTTCCTGGAGAAACACTCTCACTGGGCATGTTCCTATTTAAGAACCAGCGGGGACTTAAAACCATTTTTTATTATTTTTGAAACCAGAGACCTATACAAAAGACACCATGTAATGAATCCTCCATGCCCGTCATGGGCTTCAAGAGCCATCAGAGCTCTGTGGCCCCAGCTAGACACATCCACCCACTCACAGAGGAGTGCTGGGAAGCAAGAACTAGACGGTCTAGCACTTCCGTCTGTAACGATTTTAGCTTATATTCCCCAAAGAGCTCTTAAAAAATAATTAAAGCGCTAAAAAAAAAAAACACCTAAATAAATTTTTTTTAATGATGATTGCATATTTGGTCAGCAGTGACATTTCTCTGATGATATCAGAAAAACTTTCGTAAGATATCTGAAAGGGAATCCTTGCACAGATTTCCACTGGTTGCTCAGGGTTTTAAATTTTGGGATCCACATTTTTTTTTCTTTTTTACTTTTTTAAAAAGATTTTATTTATTGGGGCGCCTGGGTGGCTCAGTGGGTTGGGCCTCTGACTTCAGCTCAGGTCATGATCTCAGGGTCCTGCGATCGAGTCCCGCATCGGGCTCTCTGCTCAGCGGGGAGCCTGCTTCCTCCTCTTTCTCTGCCTCTCTGCCTACTTGTGATCTCTCTCTCTGTCAAATAAACAAATAAAATCTTAAAAAAAAAAAAAAGTAAAAGATTTTATTTATTTATTTGAGAGACAGCAATCGAGCTTGAGAGAGCACAAGCAGGGGGAGGGGCAGGCAGAGGGAGAAGCAGACTCCCCGCTGAGCGGGCAGCCCCATGTGAGACTCCATCCCGGGACTCTGGGATCATGACCTGAGCCGAAGGCAGACAATTAAGCAACGGAGCCACCCAGGTGCCCCTCTTTTTCTTTTTGAACACAGGTTTCAAAATACATTTATAAGTTGAGGTATAATTTATCCACAGGAAAATGCACAATTGTGGAGTTCAGTGACTTTTGGTAAATGCGTCCATGTCTGTGTGACCACCGCCCTCATTAAGATACAGAACGTTTCTAACAAGTCAGTGCACAATGCCTCTGCCCGCCTTTGCAGACAACCTGCCCCTCACCCCCACTCCAGGCCATGGTTCCTCCTCACCAGAGCTCCACTGTGTCAACTAGGGCTTCCTAGAACTTCTCCCAGGCAGAGCCAACCCGTCTGGCAGGCACGTGAGGCTTCTTCATGATGAACGGACAGCTTCCTGCCGCCTGTGGGACTTCTACTGCTCAACCCTTCCCACCTTCTCCATGGTCACAGGGCTCACGTGACATCATCACTCCCACCTGCGTCCTTATTTCAGCAAACTTCACCACAGGCACTTGAACCAGACTCTCAAGGCTGCTGGCCCTGGTTCTACTTCCTCTACAGTCTTTCTCCTACGGTGCTGTCCACACAGGTCTCTTTCCTCCCTCCATGTCCTGCAGCACTTGTGTCCAGACCAAAGAATGCCCGCCCTCTGTTTTCTTGGCTTCACGGGCGACCCCTCCATAAGAATGTGAGCGCCCAGAGTCCCTCCATGCTCTGTTCTTGGTTGGGTCCTCTACAGTGCCCACAGCAGTGCTGGGAAACGGACAGCCTACCCTAAGCGCCTTCGTGATTCGATGGAAAGTCGCCAGAGTTCTGTTGTGACTGACTGGCAAGGCAAAGAACAACATTAAATGTTAAACTAGTCCTCATTCGCTGGGACCAGAGGGAATGTGTCCCCTCTATTGCCAGAAAATGTTTTTCGGATGGTGCGGAAACTCTGGCTGCTCTGGAATGGCCCATAAACAATGGTCTGCACTCGATCAGGGCCCGTGGTCGTCAGAGAGCATGCGCAGAATGAGACGTGCACCAGCCCAGGGCCGCTGTGTTCAAGTCAAACACAGGAAAGGTGCAGCGGAGAAAACCAAAATAAAGAGGACAACCAGATCTAAAGGTCTTGACCCTGGTTGCACTCTAGAACCAACAAACCTGGGAGTGGGGCTTTTAAAAATACAGATACAATGAACTCTCCGTAGGGGGCCCAAGTGTTAGTACTTTTAAAAAGCTCCTGAAGATTTTCTTATGTGCAGCCAGGATTGAGAACCACTGAATTATTTCACAGATACAAAACGTGACA